CAAATATAAAATAAAAAATAGTATGAAAAATTTAGTTTATAACAATAAAGGTAACAAAGTGCAGATCTCTGGCAAGGAAAAACAATTTCATTGAGAGACATCAAAGACTAAGTGGCAAAATATACCATATTAACAGATTAGAAGACTCAGGATTTAAAGATGTCAGTTATCTCCAAACTGAACTGTAGAGTCAGTAGTATCCTAATCAACATCCCAACATGATTATATTGTGGAATTTGACAAGTTAATTCTAACATTTGTATGAAAACTTTAAGGGACAAGGATTGCCAAAATATTCTTAGGAGATATTTTATTAGCTCTAAGTTTATTTTACAGCTATAGACGTAAGGCTGTGTGATATTGTCAGAGGACAGACAGGTGGGCCAGGGGAACAGACTAGAGAACTGGAAATAGATCTGTGTCTCATGTATGGTAGAGGTGGCCTGGGTATCAGTGGGGCATACTAGTACTCTTAAATAATGGTTCTGAGGTAGCGACCTCTCAGGTCATACTATTATACTATTCACAGGATAAACTCCAGGTATCCACACGACCTAAATGAGAAAGGAAAGCTATAATGCTTAAAAATAATAATAGTATAGGAGATTAACTTTGTGCCCCAGGGTATGAAGGTATTTTTAAAACAAAGGAACACTAATTCTAAAGGCTAAGACCAATAAATTTGACCATAATGAAATTAAGAAATATAAGTGATACAATAGAAGATACTTATTATCCATCTAACACATAAAAGACATTGCACATTTATAATAAATTCCTGCAAGCCAGTAGGAAAATGGCAGGAAATTCCATTAAAAAATGGTCAAAAGACTGGAACATGTATTAAAAAATAAATATCCAATGGTTAATAAACATTTTTCATTAACATTGCTTGTGTGGTATTAACTAGTACAACTGCTTTGGAAAAAAGTTAAGCTTTTTCTTCTAAACTTGAAGATACACACACTTGTGCCCCAGTGATTCTCCCTCCAGGAATATCCTGCACAGAGACAAGTGTACATGTATATATGATGTATGCAGGAAGGTGCATGCCATTTGTATAACTTGGAGAATGTAAATGATCCAACTATTCATGAACATGGAACGGGTATATTCATACAGTGGAATACAATGAATGAGTAAGCTTACATACGATAACGGATTTGGATCTTGTAAACCTTCCATTAAGGTTAAGGAAACAACACACACAAGAATGCACAGAGAATGGTTCCATTAATATAAAGTCAAAACTGGGAAAACTAAAGTATATTGTTTAGATTAGGAATTCATACGTGGGTGATAGAACTATGAAGAGAAGCAGGGAATACATGCAAATAAGGACCCTTGCTTCCTCTGATTGCAAGAAGGGGATACAATTGAGAAGGGACACATCCTGGGCGTGGTTACAGAGGTGTTCACTTTATAACCTTCGGTCTGTCCTTAACCACATGTATGTGTATTTAAGGCACATTTATGTTTCATGCCAAAGCAAATGAATTGTCAACAACAGAGATTGAAAGGTAAAAAACCACTTCTAAACCTGAGAGAAATTGAAAGGTAAAAAACCACTCCTAAACCTGGGAGAAATTGCAAGGATTTCCTTTCATTGTGGAAGGAAAGCTCTTGGTAGGTGACAAGAAAAAGCTAATAGTTTCAGTGTTTTCTTTTTAGAGATTTTTAAATTTTTGAGGTAGAATTTATATACAATAAGATGCATAGATCTTGAATGTTGAATCTTAGGAGTTCTGACTTGCCACCCTGAACAAACTAGAACATTTCCATCACCCTGGAGAGCTTTCTTCTTCCCAATCAGAGGCAACCATCTTCTGATTTCTGTCACCTTATTATTAGTGGTGCCCGTTCTTGAGCTTCACATAAGTGGAATGATACCGTATATATATGCTTCTGTGTCTTTCGATACTTATATATGTGTGTGTATGTGTGTGTGTATAAATATGTGTATATATACACATGTATGTGTTAACTTACCTGTATTACATGTGTCAAAACTTTGTTCCTTTTTTATTGCTAAGTATTTTTCCATTATATGAAGATCCCATAACTTATCCATCTCTTGTTGGATGGACATTTGGTTTGTTCCCAGTGTGGGGATATCCATTAGTTTTTAAAATGTGTTGTTTAGTTTGACATTTATGGGAGGAAAAATTCATTAGCATGTTAGGTTATTGAAGGAATTGGGCGAAGTATTGACAGAATTAAAACTTTTATTCTCTAGGACTAAAGAAAACTGACAACAAACTTGGGAATAGAGTAACACTTTCAAAAACAAAAACGGCAGAGAGGCAAACATAGTAATGGCTCTCTTCATCAACTAGGGTGTGTAGTGTGGCCAAGAACATGGCCTTTATCGTTGGGCAGTTCTGAATACAAATCCTGGCTCTACTAAATAATGCCCTACTGTGTAATTTTGACAACTGACTCAACTCCTCTGGGCCTTACTTCTCCTCTGTATAAGTGGAGTGTAGTGCCTGCCTCACAGGAATGTAAGAATTAAGTAGTTTGATATTTATAAAGTGCTTAACTTAATGCATGATTGACAGTACATGTCAGTAGTAACTCTTGCTACTAATAGAGTCATTGGTGGATCTCATCAACTCACACCTCAGAGAAGGGTCCTTTTGGGATTGGTCTTTGCTGAATTACACCAGAATACTCATGGTGATTGAAGAGTTTGGGAAAGGACAAGGGACTCTTGTGCCCACCTCCCTTCCTTGCCCCCCCCCCGCCATCTTTTTCAGCCCGTAATTCATAACTCGAAGGCAGAGGGCTAGGCTGCATTGTTTTGGGGCCAGCACACCCCTGGGTAACATGTGTGGGTAGTTCCTTCACTCCTATCATCCATGCTTATTCGGCAAATCACAGAACTGTTTTGGGCTTATTTACATGACTTTGAGACAAGACCTCTTGTCCCACAAAATAAAACATTAGGATATTTCACTGGTCTTGTGGAATGTTCATACTGATTTTATTTTGCTATTGGGGAGGTTCACCTTAGAGATGTAATACTACAGAAAACAATTTTTAAAAACCTGTTATATATTCTCAAGAAGACCATAAAAATGACCCAGATGAGTAGAAATGAAAACAAAATCTACAGAAAATGAAATGCATCATTTTCTGGATTACAGCAGTTAAAAGAATGGGCTATGGAGTAAGAGACCACCCAGTTACTGCTGCTAAACAAATTACCTTCAAAAATAGTAGTTTAAAGCAAAAAATTATCTCATGGTTTCTTTGGGTCAGTAATCTGGGCAAAACTTAGCTGGGGGTGTCTGCCTCAGAGTCTCATGATGCTGTGGTCCATCTGAAGGCTCAAGTAGGCCAAGATCACCATTCAAGCTTGCTCACTCGTGTGGTTGCTGGCAGGATTCCAGTCCTCTCAGGCTGTTGGGTGGAGGCCATCCTCAGTTCCTAGAACTGCAGGCCACCCCACAGGCTAGATCACAACATGGCAGCTGGCTTCCATCCAAGTGAGCAAGCAGTGGAGGGTGAGAAAGGGTGTGCCCAGGCTTTTGGTCCCCTTATCTCAGAAGTGATCTCCCTTTGCTTTTGCAACATTCTGCCGATTAGAAGCAAGTTGCTAGGTCCAGCCTGTAGGGAGGAGATTCCACCGTGGCGTGAATACCAGAAATGGGGATTACTGGGACCATTTTAGAGGCTACCTCCTTCTATCTGCCCTCTGACCCCAATAATTCATGTCCCCCAACCCCTGCTACATACAGAATATACTCACCCACTCCCAAGATCCCCAAACATCTTATTATGGCATCAGCTTCTGAATCTCATTATCTGAATCAGGTCCAGGTGGGGATGAGGGTTTTGAGGATAAATCTGTATTCTCTATTGCTGCATAGCAAACCACCCCCAAAATTGGAAGCTTAAAGCAGCAAATTGCCCTATCTCACAGGAGGAGGGGATCATCTGGGCCCTCTCAGAGGCTGCTACCACACTGTCTGGATTTGCATCCTTATTCTGCCATATACTAGCTGTGTGCTTTTGGGCTAGTCACTTCCCTTTTATCTGCTTTTGGTGTCTTTATTTTTTTTTGTTTAATTTCTAAAATGAGGCTAATAATATTACTCCCCTAATAGGGACAATGTTATGGTTAAGTGACATAATTTGTAAAGTAATTAGCACATTCCCTGGCAAATAGCAAATGCTGTCCATTTATAATTAATCTCATTAGAATTCTTAACTATTGTTCCAAAGAGAAACCTTGGTAAGCTTATTCAGAATGACAAGTGAAAAGGCTAAAGATGGAAAGAAAAGGATAGGCCTGGAATTCAACAAGGTAAGAATCCAGCCTAAAACTTGTAGTGGAGTCCAAGGAGAGCAGACCAAGAATGGTTAAGTTTAAAAAAACAAAAACAAAAAAAACTACTAAACCATAAGTATGTGATGAAAGCAGTGATGAAAATATTTCATGTGGCTCATGCACTGCTAGAATATTGCAACCAGGTAGGGATGTGGGGAGATCCGTATTTTAGATCAGGCCCTGTACGAATAACTGGATCAACCTGTGATCAGACCTGTTCATTACTAACTGCAGGCCAGTCCCATGTAGAAAGTCAGGAAGGGAGCCTGTGAGCACATTGTCTACAGAGCTGGCACACATCTCGGAGGTTCTTGGCCTGCCTGGACCAGCTTTAGGCCTGAGCGGATGCCCTTCTATGCCGTACTGTGGTCAACTTGAGAGGGAACAGGTCATTTACCTCCACAGCCCTGTCTCTTCGTGTGTACCAGGTATAAAACGAAGGGGCTGATTAGAAGGTATCTAAGAGTGCTTTATGCTAAAAGCATCAGATGCAAGGTCGGGGCCATAGGACTTTCTGCTGTGCCCTGCAGCATATGGACAGACTGGGTTGAGTCAATGGTTGAGTTGTGCCCACACTCAGGTGGGACTCCGGTTGTAAATGGGGAGTGTCTTCCCCTTGCCTGGCCTTCAGCCCTAATGTGCCTCCTCCTTGTTGCTCACACAGGCCAAGTGCAGGAACATGGAGCATGCACTGCGGGAGAAAGCTAAGGCCTTCTGGGTCATGCGGCGCTCCTATGAGGCCATTGCCAAGCATAATCAGGTGAGTGCACCGGCTGGGTGGGGAGATTAGGGACACCTGGAACAGTGGGGGCAGTGGGGGGGGGGAGATTGGGGAAGGGGAGAGGCGAGGGTGGGCCCACCCTGGCTGTGGATGTTGACACAGAATCAACCTTCCCTAACCCTGAGGGTCTAGCACGGTCATGTCCTAGGTTGTTGATTGTGGCTGCACTGCCTTGGCCTCTCTAAATAGCTAGGCACAGGCCACGCCAGCAGCCATGGGAGTGGCTTGAAAAACTACCTGTGCCAGTTGCACTGTGGTTTCAGTCTAACTTCAACACATGCTGCACTTGACCATCCAACCCAGCTGCTCAAGCCAACAATGACCTAGGGCTCTCTAGTTATTCCTCTTACCCTCTTCCTCCCCGGGGCCACTCCATAGCAGTCCTGTCTCTAACTACAAAATACATCATGTCCACCTGCCATTCTGTTTCCACAGCCACCATCCTTGCCATGTCTCCAATGTTTCTCATCTGGCCACACACCAGGGCCCCAGCCTTCCGCTCTTATTCTGCAATCCTTCTCCATGGAGTGGGCTGATCTTTTAGAAAAATACATTGATTGGGGCACCTGGGTGGCTTAGTCGGTTAAGCATCCGACTTTTGCTTAGGTCATGATCTCGTAGTTCGTGGGTTCGAGCCCCGTGTCGGGCTCTGTGCTGACTGCCAGCTCAGAGCCTGGAGCCTGTTTCAGAGTCTGTCACTCCCTCTCTCTCTGACCCTCCCCTACTCACGCTGTCTCTCTCTCTCTCCTAGAAATAAATAAAAATTATAAAAAAAAAAAAGAAAAATACATTGATTGTGTCACTCCTCTTCTTAAAACTGTTGAGATAACACAGTACAGACTCCTCACCATGGATGGCCTCCACAGCCCTCATCCAACCTTTGCCCTGCTCCTGAGCTTCATCTCCTCCCATGCTTGGCTCCAGCCACATTGGCCTTCCCCCTGTCCCTCAAATGAGCTGTCGCCTCCCTGGATCTCCCATAAGGGTTGGCTTGTCATTAGTATCTCAGCTCACACGTACCTTCGGAGAGTCGTTCCCTGATCAGCCTAACCAAGCAACCCTCCCTTTAGTTGCTCTTATACCTCCACGTTTTGTGTTCTTCGGAACAGTATGTTCCTTATTTTTGAGACAGAGAGAGACCTGCGATTAACTTTCTATTATTTATTTTTTTATTTACTCGTATTAGAATATAATGAAAGCAGGCATACTAGTATCTGAGAGGATCCTTGGCACTCAATAGGTGATCAGTAAGTGGTTGTCAGTTGAATGAATGAATGGTCTGCCCTCTTTCCCCACTGTCATTGTTTATGCCCTGGCACCCTCTCTTCCCCTGAGTCCTGTGTGGATTGGCAGCTGAGTTTCTGACAGGTTGTCCTGGCTTTGCTCCGTCACAACCCGAGTGTGTGCTTCTACCAAGCATGGCTCATCTAAGACCCCCCGGACTCGGGCTGCCTGGCACTCCCCTCCCAGGCCCTTGCGCCCACCGGAGGGGACTAGGCTTGGGAAAGAGCCTCCTTAACCTCTGGCCAAGGAGCTTCCCCTAGCCGCAGAGCTAGGGGAACAGAGCACAAGAGAGGATTATGAAAGGTTGGTGGCCGGGGCACTAACCGCAAAGCTGACCTACTCCCCAAACCCAAGCTTGTCCTCCAGGCACATCCCTTACCCCACTCCATGCTAATCCCCTCATCTGCGGAAGAGCGGCAGAAAGAGAACAGCTTTGTCTTACTAGGATTTTTTTTTTTTTAATTTTTAATGTTTTATTTATTTCTAGGAGAGGGAGAGAGACAGCGTGAGCAGGGGAGGGTCATAGAGAGAGGGAGTCACAGAATCCGAAACAGGCTCCAGGCTCTGAGCTGGCAGTCAGCACAGAGCCCGACGCGGGGCTCGAACCCACGAACCGCGAGATCATGACCTAAGCGAAAGTCGGACGCTTAACCGACTAAGCCACCCAGGCGCCCCTTTACTAGGATGTTTTTAAACGTTCACTTGAGAGGGTGCATGTGAAGTGCCCAACAGAGAAAAGTCCTTCGACTCTCACGTCTTCTACGCCATCCGGCTGGATTGGAGAGGTGGTTTTCACTGTTGGATGAATCATTTTGTCTTACCGTCGGAGCCAGACCACATGTTGAGCTTCTGGTCCAGACAGGAAGTGACTGCGCTTCACCCCGCCCGGTGGCTAGAACACTCATAGTGAGTTGCTTTCTCTGCGGTCACCGTGGAATCTTAGAGCTCTACCTCTGCCACTTGAGCTCCTTTGTGGCCAGCCCCATTCACTTGGCTAGTGTGCTCGCTTCGGCAGCACATATACCATTCACTTGGCTAGCCACGTGCTGGGTTGCAGTGGGGGTGCCCGGGGCACATCCATATGTCCAGGTGCTGGCACCTGTCTGCCCGTCCCAGGCACTGTGGAGCTCTCACACCTGGCCAGGTGTGAGAGTCCAGGATTCCTATGTGATTCTTGCTTTCCCCCTAAATCCAATCTGTGCAGGCTGATGAGGGCGGCGAAGTCTTTGATGTGTACCCGTTGAAGGCTCCGGATTGCCAGCCAGAAGGGTAGCTAGACCTAACTGCACTGGTGGGGTTTTCTTGCCTGCCTTTTTATTTTTCTGTGGGACAGAAATCCTCCTGCATTCCACAGTCTCTTCCACCAGGCACGCCCCATTTTTCTGGCCAGATATTTCAGCGGTACCCTCTCATTTGCATGTCTTTGACAGTCAGTTTGTACACTGATTCACAAGTAGAAAGCCATTTGTGTTTCTTCTGTAAATGCCAATTCACACGCTTTTTTCCTTGGAATATTTGCCCTTCCCTCTAGTGGATTCCTAAGAGTGCTCTGTATATTAAGAATAACAGTTGGTTATATGTTGCAAATATTTCTCCTTGTCATTTCTTTTTCTTTTAAAAAAAATTTTTTTTAATGTTTGTTTATTTTTGAGACAGAGACAGAGCATGAGCAATGGAGGGGCAGAGAGAGAGAGGGAGACACAGAATCTGAAACAGGCTCCAGGCTCTGAGCTGTCAGCACAGAGCCTGACACAGGGCTCGAACTCACAAATCGCGAGATCATGACCTGAGCCGGAGTCGGAGGCTTAACCAACTGAGCCACCCAGGTGCCCCATTGTCATTTCTTTTTCAGTGAATCAGTTTTACTTTTTTGGGGAGGTCATTTTCACTTTTTGGGTGAATATTTTGTCACATATTGTCAGAGCTACAAACATATTATTGAACATATATTGAACTTTGAATCGAAGATAACATTAGTGACTACTACACACATTTTGAGTTGTTTTTCCTATGGTCCTCTTGGAATTATATTTTTGTACTTAACTTTATTAGTAGTCTCTTGCCATTCAAACCTTCTCATTTTTAGGGGCTCCTGGGTGGCTCAGTTGGTTGGTTAAGCATCTGACTCGTGATCTTAGCTCAGGTCTTGATGTCAGGGTCATGAGTTCAGGCCCCATGTTGGGTTCTGTGCTGAGTGTGAAGCCTACTTAAAAAAAAAAAAAAAAATTTGTCGGGGCCCCTGGGTGGCTCAGTCGGTTAAGTGTCCGACTTCAGCTCAAGTCATGATCTTGCGGTCTGTGGGATCAAGCCCCGCATCGGGCTCTGTGCTGACAGCTAGCTCAAAGCCTGGAGCCTGTTTCAGATTCTGTGTCTCCCCCTCTCTCTGACCCTCCCCTGCTCCCACCCTGTCTCAAAAATAAACATTAAAAAGATGTTTTAAACTTATTTTTATATCTATTCAGTGATCTCCTTTGAGGTTTCTCAGTGTTTTATTACTGTACAAAAGGTCTTTTTCATTCCAAGGTGAGAAATATTTCTCTCCTTTTTCTTTGAGTGCATTAATGGTTTTCTTTTAACTTTTAAAAGTTTTGTGTAGTTATGATAGGGGTATGCATATCGTTAATGATTCAGTTTTAAAATACATACTTCCTGGGGGGTGGGTAGAGGAAGGGGGGTGATGGGCATGGAAGAGGGCACTTGTGGGGATGAGCACTGGGTGTTATATGGGAACCAACTTGACAATAAATTATTTAAAAAATTAAAAAATAAAATACATACTTCCTACTCTTTTGAGAAGGCTCTGCATCAGACAGATTTGAAGTTTTAAGGTTGGAAGGCAGGGGCGCCTGGGTGGCTCAGTCAGTTAAGTGGCCGATATCGGCTCAGATTATGATCTCACAGTTCGTGGGTTCGAGCCCTGTGTCAGGCTCTATGCTGACAGCTAGCTCAGAGCCTGGAGCCTGTTTCAGATTCTGTGTGTCCCTCTCTCTCTGATCCTCCCCTGCTCATGCTGTCTCTCTCTCAAAAATAAAAAAAAATTTTAAAAAGATTGGAAGGCAAATAAGTTTTAAAACTCGTTATTTGAGAGTCTTATGTCATGAGCTCAGCATTTGTGGATTTGAGCTTCGCTTCGGGCTCTGTGCTGACAGCTTGGAGCCTGGAGCCTGCTTCAGATCTGTGTCTCCCTTTCTCTCTGCCTCTCCCTCGCTGTGCATGCTCTCCCTCTCTCAAAAATAAACATCCAAAAAAATTTTTAAATACATTAAAAAAATAAAAACCGTTGTTCCAGCAACAGTTCAATTTCTGTGATTCAGGATTTCCCTTGCTATTGAGTACCTAACCAAGATACAGATCAGTGTGTGTTGAGGAGGATACAGACTGTGCCATCCAGAAGCAGGGATTTGATTTGAGTTTTTAATTTATCAAGACAGTCTCATTATGCCGTGTGACTTAAAACTTACAAATTTGTGCTAATAACACTGCATCTGTACTTTACCTGTTGGGGGTCTGCCCGTGGTTTCCTTTGACAGCAGAGCTCCTTTGCTAGAAGCCTGAGCGTCACAGGGCCAGGCACTGGTTTCCCACCCGTGGTTGACCCTCTGTGGCTCCATCCCACTCTCTGCCATAGGTGGAGGCCACCTGGCTGGAAGGGCGAGTCCGGCAGGAGTTTGGCAAGCTCCGTGAGTTCCTGAGAGTAGAGGAGCAAGCCATCCTGGATGCCGTGGCAGAGGAGGCGAGGCAGAAGCAGCGGCTGGCCGAAGAGAAGATGAAGCGGCTGGCGGAAGACACAGAGGCTCTGGCCCATGAGATTGAGCGGCTGCAGGTGGAGATGAAGGAGGATGATGTTTCCTTTCTCATGGTGAGGGGCTTGCTGTCTGGCATCAGGTGTTCCAGAGCCAGTAGGGAGCCTGAGGCCGGTGGCCCGGCCCGCCCCAGCCTGTCTCCCCATAGTGTCGGGGTGCTCAGAGGAAGCTCTCTGTTTGTCTGGAGGCCAGGATGCTTTTCATCAGAGCAGAGTTCAAGAGGGCCTCTTCACTTCTCTCTGCCTTTGTCTCCTTTCCTCCTCCCTCCCCCTTCTCTAGTACTCTCTTGCTCTCTCTCTCTTCATTTCTTCTCTCTCTGCTCCTTAATGCAAACGGAGTACTTTTTTGTTTTAATTTTTTTAATGTTTATTTTTGAGAGCGAGAGAGACAGAATTCGAGTGGGAGAGGGGCAGAGAGAGAAGGGGAGGACACAGAATCCGAAGCAGGCTCCAGGCTCTCAACTGTTAGCACAGGGTCCGATGCAGGGCTCAAACTCACAAACTGTGAGATCGTGACCTGAGCTGAAGTTGGACACTTAACCAACTGAGCCATCCAGGCGCCCCACAAATGGAGTACTTTTTAAATAAGCTTTTTATTTTGGGTTTACTTTAGACTTATGGAAAAGCTGCAGAGATAGTACCGAGTGCCCTGGTGCACCCTTCCTTCTAGTCTCTCCCGTTGTTAACACCTTACGTCACCATGTGGCACATTTGTCCACGGGAAACTGACCTGGGTGGGTTGTAATTAACTAAAGACCAGACTTATTGGAGTCACCACTTTTTGCATTAATATCCTCTTTCTGCTCCAGAGTCCCATCCAGGGGCCCACCATGCATTTAGTTGTCCCACTTCCCAGCCTCCACTGGTTTGTGACAGCTTCTTATTCTCTGTTTGTCATGACCTTGGCAGTCCCGAGGAGTTCTGGCCAGAGGGCCTGTACAAATCCACCAGAGTTTGTCAGATGTTTTTCTCATGATTCGATGGGTTATAGGATTTTACAAAGAAGACAAAATGGAATATTCTAAAGCTATACAATTATTTTAATTTTTAATATAAATGTGATGTTTTGGTATCCTCTATTGCTTCCTTAAGAAAAGGGTGACTTTGGGGGGCACCTGGGTGGCTGTCAGACTTTAGCTCAGATCACGATCTCACGGTTGGTGAGTTTGAGCCCACGAAACTGTGAGATCATGACCTGAGCCGAAATCAAGAGTCAGACATCTGACTGATTGAACCACCCAAGTGCCCTGATTTTTTTTAATGTAACAGTTTTTATTGAGATAAAATTTGCATACTGTATAAATCACTTATTTAAAATGTACAGTTCATTGGTTTTTACTGTATTCACAGGGTTGTGCAGCCGTCACTATAATCAGTGGTAGAATGAATGTTTCCCTTCCCCAACAGAAACCCCATACCCTTTAGCTGTCACCCTCCTGTGCTCCCCCGACCACCCACCATCAGCCCTCAGCAACAAATCTATCTACTTTCTGTCTCTAAGGATTTGCCTAGTCTGGACATTTTCACAAATGATTTCTGTAAATGGAATCATATAATATGTAGCCTTTTGTGACTGACTTCTTTCACTCTGCACGGTTTGAAACTACACCATTTGCAGCACGTGTCAATACAGGGCTGAATAATATTCCGTTACAGATATGCTGCATTTTATTTATTCATCAATTGGTAGACATTTGGGTTGCTTCCACTTTTTAGCTATTATGAATCATTCATGTGCAAGTTTTTGTGTAGACATATGTTTTTATTTCTCTTAGGTATGTGCCTAGGAATAGATTTACTTAATCACAGGTAACTTGTAAGTTTAACCGTTTGAGGACCTGCCAGGCTGCTTTCCAAGCAACTGCACTGATTTTATATTCCCATTAGCAATGTATGACGGTGTATTTCCCCACATGCTTACTACCGCAGACTTTCTTTTTAAATATTTAATTATTTTTAAAATTTCATTTTAGAGAGAAAGTGTGAGGAGGGAAGAGGGGCAGAGGGAGAGAGAGTAAAAGAATCTTAAGCAGGCTCCATGCCAAGTGTGGAACCCGACGTGGGCTCAATCCCATGACCCTGGGATCATGATCCAAAATCAAGAGTTGGACACTCAACCACTAGGTGCCTCCTGACTTTTTTTTTTAAATAGCCATTGCACTGGGTGCAAAATGGTATCTCATTGTGGTTTTAATTTGCATTTCTTTAGTGGCTAATTATGTTGAACATCTTTTCATGTACTTGTTCGTCATTTGTATATCTTTGGGGAACCATACTTTCAAATCCTTTGTCCATTTTTTAACTTGGGTTGCTTGTCTTTTTGTTGTTGAACTGTAACAGTTTTTATGTATTATGCATACTAGACCTTTGGTGGGTATGTGATTTATAAATATTTTCTTCCATTTTGTGGGTCATTTGTTCTTCTTTGGTAATTTCCTTTGAAGTACAGAAGCTTTTCCTTTTGATGAAGTCCAGTTGATCTGTGTTTTCTTTGCTGTTTGTCCTTTTGGTGTCATATCTGAGAAAGTATAATCTAATCCAAGGTCATGAATTTTATAGGCTTAGCTCCACATTTAAGTGTTTGAATTAATTTAAAAATATTTTGTATATGGTGCAAGGTGGGAATCCATCTTCATTCTGCTGCGTGTAGATATCCAGTTGTCCCACTGAAGACCATTTACTGAAGACCATTCTTTCTCCAATGAATGGCCTTAGCACCCTTGTAGGAAGCCAATTGACAGTAAATATGAGGATGTATTCCTGGGTTTTCAGTGTCCATTGATCTGTATGTCTGTTCTTATGTCAGTACCACATTATCTTCACTACTGTTTCTTTTAGTTAAGTTTTGGAGTCGGGAAGTGTGAGCCACCAACTTTGTTTTTGCCCAAGATTGTTTTGGCTCTTCTGAGTCCCTTGAATTTCCACATGAATTTTAGGATCAGCTTGTCAGTGTCTGTAAAGAAGCTAGCTAGGAGCTAGGATTTTGATAGGAATTGTTTTTATTTTTTTAAATTTTTTTTGTAATGTTCATTTTTGAGACAGACACAGAGCGTGAATGAGGGAGGGGCAGAGACAGAGGGAGACACAGAATCCGAAGCATGCTCCAGGCTCTGAGCTGTCAGCATAGGGCCCAAAACTGGGGTAGAACTCACAAGCTGTGAGATCATAACCTGAGCCGAAGTCAGATGCACAACTGACTGAGCCACCCAGGCGCCCGGAATTGTATTGAATTTGTAAATCAGTCTGGGGAGTATAGCCGTCTTAACAATATTAAGTCTTCCTATCCATGAATATGGGATGAGGGCTACTTTTGAGATCAGATACTTACTTTTCTTTTCCCCTGTGTTTATTGCTCTGTCTTTTTGTTTTTTCCTCTCTTTCAGAAACACAAAAGCCGAAAACGCCGGTAAGTTGCCAAAGCTGATGGAGGGGAGGGGAAGAGCAGGCAGAAATACCAGGGGTGCCAGCGCCAGTGTCTCCAGGGCCAGGCAGGTAATGAAGCCAGCTGGGTATGACCCAGAGGGAGTGGTGGGGACTGGTCAGGTGCAGAGAGCCCTCCTTTAAACCATGCCACTTCCAATTTGTGCTGGAGAAGTGTTGTTTTCCTGAGCTTGGAAAATCATCATCCACTTTGTGGGGAGAGAATGTGTCATCCTACACATGGCTTGTATTTCTTGGTGGGTTATCCCAACATTTAAGCTTCTTTCTTGGCTAGTCCCTCCCTCTGAAAGCCTCGGGGACACACTGGTTTGCGTTGATGTCTGTTGGGTTCCCAGCAGTGAACTATCTATCCCAGTCAGAGCTGTACAAAGATGAAAGAGAATGCTTTGGAGAGTAGTGAGTTCCCTGGCACTGAAGGTGTTCAAGCAAAGGCCAATGATACGTTCAGACATTGGGACTAGATGACTCTTAAGGTCCCTTCTGACTTAGACATCCCATGAGCAGATATGTAAGAATGCTTTGTGCCCACAAGAATGGGAACTGTGTCTGAGAATCTCCTATTCATAGTTATCCCAGCTGGGGCAGGTTGGGCCCAAATGCCAAATCCTGCAGAGCTGTGGGCAGCCTCGTTGGCTACTGGCTCATCCCCCATCAGAGCCCAGCCCAGGTTTGTCATGGGTAAGATGGCCAGGGAACAAATGAGTCCTGTTGCCCGTGTCCAGCTGACCCAGCTAGGCCCAGGATGCACAGCCCCAGCCCTGCCCACCAGGCCTTTTCTCCCTTCCCAGCCTCTTCTGCACCATGGAGCCAGAGCCTGTCCAGTCTGGCATGCTTATCGACGTCTGCAAGTACCTTGACTCCCTACAGTACCGCGTCTGGAGGAAGATGGTCACGTCTGTTGAATCTGGTGAGTGGGGGCGCAGGCAGGGCTACAGGCAGGGGAGATAATGTCACGCGAGGCAGAGAGCCAACTGAGCTCCTCTCTTTCAGCTTCTCACCCTGTCGGGCCTTCTCTAGCCTCTTTCAGCCCGGTGCCCTCTCCGCCCCCTGCCCCACCCCTCAAAACCATCTGGCAGAACTCCGGCCTCTTTGAGTCCTAACAGTCAGCCACCTCTGCAGAAAGAGGAGTCGACTGCCCTCTCTGTTCAGAACTGTACTGTATAGGTGATAAAAGGTCTCCTCCTTTCAGGATCGCCTTTCTACGATGACTCCAGCCCACCCGAGTCACTGTGTTGGACGCTATGGACTGAGTGTTTGTGTCCCCTTACATTTGTATGTTGAAGCCCCAACCTCCAATGTGATGGCATTTGAGGTGCAGCCTTTGGGAGGTGATTTGGGTTACATGAGGTCATGAGCATGGAGCCCCAGGATGGGCTTAGTGCCCTTATAAGGAGAGGCACCAGAGAGCCGCTCCTGTCATCCAGACCAAACCACCCTACAGCCCAGTCTCAGACTTCAGTCTCCAGAGCCATGAGAGAGACATTTCTGTTGTTGAAGCCACTCAGCCTGGGGTATTTTTGTGCAGCAGCCCAAGCGAAGACACAGTTTTATAGGGAGAAAGGTCAGTGACCCAGAGGGATGTTATGTGCTTCTCCAAATTGTCATGGAGTTTTGTTAGCATCCGGGGCCCCTGCACCTCTTGGTTTCCTGTGGCTGCTGTGACAAAGGACTGCAAACCAGATGCTGTAAAAGGCCAGATTAACTTACTCTCATGGTTCCAGGGGCTGGAAGTCCAGAGTGCAGGTGTCAGCAGGGCTGCGCTCCTTCTGAGCCCTGTAGGGAAGGCCTTCTGTGCCCCTTGCTGGCTTCCAGGGTTGGCCAGCAGCCCTTAGCCGGCAGCTGTAGGTAGTCCTTGGATCCCAGCCCTTGTCATCACCTAGACTTCTCGCCACTGTGTGTGTCTGTCTGTTCTCCTTTTTTTTTGTAAGAACAACAGTCATATTGGAATAGGGTCCTGCTCAGCTCCTGTCTGATGTCATCTTAGTCACATCTGCCATGACCCCATTCCCAAATAAGGACGCCTTCTGAAGTACTGGCAGTTAGGACATGACCATCTTTTTTGGTGGGGCACAGTTCAGCCCTGGACAGCTCCTCCATGCCCTGGGGCCAGTAGGGACACAGCAGGTCACTTTGGGGTTGCAGGCATGAGCTGGCATGGCAGGGGGGCAGCATGGAAGGCTTGCTGATTCACTGCCGCTTTCCCCCTCTGCTCCTCAGTGCCTTTCAGCTTCGATCCCAATACTGCGGCCGGCTGGCTCTCTGTGTCCGATGATCTCACCAGCGTCACCAACCACGGCTACCGAGTGCAGGTGGAGAACCCGGAGCGCTTTTCGTCGGCGCCCTGCCTGCTGGGCTCCCGTGTCTTCTCGCAGGGCTCCCACACCTGGGAGGTGGACCTGGGGGGCCTGCCAAGCTGGCGGGTGGGCGTGGTGCGGCTGCGCCAGGACTCTGGTGCCGAAGGCCACTCCCACAGCTGCTACCACGACACCCGCTCGGGCTTCTGGTATGTGTGCCGCACTCAGGGCGTGGAGGGGGACCACTGTGTGACCTCGGACCCGGCCACATCTCCCCTGGCCCCAGCCATCCCTCGCCGACTGCGCGTAGAGCTGGAGTGTGAGGAAGGTGAGCTGTCCTTCTATGACGCAGAGAGCCACTGCCACCTTTATACCTTCCACGCCCGCTTCGGGGAGGTGCGGCCATACTTCTACCTGGGGGGCACGCGGGGGGATGGGGCCCCTGAGCCTCTGCGCATCTGCCCCCTGCGCATCACTGTCAAGGAGGAGCTGGATGGCTGAGGCTGGCCCGGAGCCGGCCGGATCTGTCTGGGACTCGTTCCATGGTCCTTCCTGCTTTCTTTCTGTCCTTCCTCAGGCCGTGCTCACCTCAGAACCTCTGAACTGGCTGCCTCTGTGCCAGGATCTTCCTACCGACCTGTCAGGCCTCCTCCTTCATTTCTGGTCCCTTCCCCACCCACAGTTGAAAGTGTCCAGGAGACCCCTTACTCCCCAGACCCAGAGCACCTTCAGGATGTGAATGTCCTAAATCCTAATGCCAGGATTTCTGGGGATGACAGTTGCTTCTAAAATGGGCTTGTTTAAAAAAAAAAAAAAAAAAAAATTTTTTTTATGTTTATTTTTGAGACAGAGAGTGACGGGGGAGGGGGGGTCAGAGAGAGAGAGGGAGACACAGAATCCAAAGCAGGCTCCATGCGGACTTTGAGCCCACCAGCTCTGAGATCATGACCTCAGCTGAAGTCTGGCGCTTAACGGACTGAGCCACCCAGGCGCCCCTAGAATGGGCCTGTTTTAAAATGTAGGTTTTATTACCCTGGTATGGTGAGGCCCACAGACCTGGAGAGGGCCACAATTAAAAAGAATTTATTATTTACAGTCCACAAGAGGGGGGTCCCACCACACTTTTGGGAGTAGCCACACAAGGAACCATCAGGGGAAGCATCAGAATCCATTAGGAGGCAGAGGGAGTTGAGGAAGCACTGGTTGGAGACTTTATTGTGGTTTCAGTGGTAGGAATGGTCGAGGCAGGGCTCTGGGTAGACAGGTTTGAAATATGCCAGTTTGGATAATTTTGGCAGGCTCTGGGGCATAGGGGTTGCCCCTAGTTGTCAGGGATGCCCAGGAGGGGAACCTTGGCCCCCAAGTGGGAGAGCCCTGTGAGAACGTGGTATAGGAAGTGGTTGGGAGAATAGCTCTGGTTGGGTCGATGGTTTGCACATGAAAGGCATGCTACAGGGAAGTTGATTGCTTTCTCCTGGGAGGAACAGTTTCCCCAGGCCAGTGAGGCCCTAGATACCAGAGCATCAAGAATACAGAAAATAGGAAAATACAGTTTGTGCAAGACTGCTGTTGTGGCTTTGGGGCAGGATCTAGGCTCAACTTGTCTATCACTTTATACCAGTGTCTTAAAACTGCTCCCTAGAATCCTCTGGGGTCCCCTGGGAATGGGCAAGTCCACCCCTCAAATCAGCTCTGATTTATCTATTTGCACTTGTTGGACTATTTCACTTAAAAAACACATTTTTTAAAATTTAGCCTTAAAAAGTGACTTATATAATGCAAGTGAGGAAAAAAACACAATTTTAAAAAGCACAGTTTAGACCCTTTCCTTCTCTGGGCCTCAGTTTCCTCATCTGTAAGTAAGATTGGAGGACTAGGAAATTATGCCCTGTGATTGCTGTAGAAGAGATAGCTCTGATTCGTCCTCATAAAGTAATGAGGGGCCCTTTTCAGTCAGGAGATAGGAAAGGTCTGGGGTGAGAAAAACAGATGACCTTGCTTGACCTTTGCTGCCCCGCCCTGGCTGCAGCTGCTCATTCTCACCCTGTTGCCTTTTGTGTTGTCATCCCATCTCTTCTGCCCCCTTTCTGTTTCTGTTGAGCCTACAGGCTTGCACCTCCACCTCTTCTTCCTCGCTTATGCCTGTAGATAATTGTTAATTGTCACCTTGTCCTGTCTGGGAAACAGCATGGTAAAAGGAAATATTGTTCCATGGGGGTGGTGTTCTAATCGGGAGCATGGTCCCTACTGAGGACTTAGATTCTTTCTCCTGCCTGTGCCCCCAGTTCCAGAAATGGGCTTTTAAAACAGAAATGATGACTCAAAACTATGAAGTGTTGTTAACATGATATGTACAATTGGTACATGGGGCGGGACGCAGTAGGAAATGCCACTGGGTAAAGGGGAATGTTGGCTGACTGGTGTGCGCAGGTGGGAAGGCACTTGGACTCATTGAAGCTCAAGGCACTTTGAGGGCCAGCGCCTCTGAGACCAGTGTGCATTGTCTAGCCCATCACATAGAATCTGTGCAATAATCTTGACCTAAAATTATTTTGTTAGTTATAATAAACTTTAAAAAAATTTTTTTTAATTTCCAACTTAGTGGAAGGTTTTTTTTTTTTTTTTAATGGACAATTTGGATAGCCCAGGCCTCTTTTTTAAAAAATAAAAATGATATTTGAGCCAAAGTCCACTTTTTCTTTGGACATTTTCCTTTCAGGGTCCTTGGAAGCAAAAGGTCATCCATGGTGTAGCATGTACTTGACTTTGTTCCCTTTCACGATCAAGTCACATTCTGTTGTGTGAATACACTGCATTTTATCTGTTCTTCAGCTAGTGGACGTTCATTCATCGTTTTCATTTGTCGCCATTACAAATAGTGCTGCTGTGAACACGCATTGTACATGTGTTGTACAAGTTTTTGTGTAGTCATAGGTTTTCTGTTCTCTTGTGTATATATCTAGGAGTGGATTTGATGGATCATATAGGAACTCCACCTTACCCTTTGAGGAACTGTGAGGCTATTTTTCAATCGAGCTGCACCATTTTAGATTCTTATCAGAGGTACACAAAGTTTCCAGTTGCTTCATGTCCTTGCCAACACTTGTTATAGTCTGTCTTTTAACTTGCCCATCTTAATGGGGGCGAAGTGATACCTCATTGTGGTTATTTATCTATTTGGGGGAGAGAAGGAGAGTGGGGGAGGGGCAGAGAGAGAAGAAGAGAAAGAATCCCAAGCAGGCTTCACGTTCAGCATGGAGCCCAATGCAGGGCTCAAACCACTAGCCTTGAGATCATGACCTGAGTCGAAACCAAGATTTGGACGCTTAACTAACTGAGCCACCCAGGCACCCCTCGGAGATGCTTCCTTTTGTTTCCTCAGCCTACAAGGCCTATTGCCCTTCTTTATTCACCTCCAGGCATCTGGGCTTGGTGGTGCCTCCTGAGACCTGCCTGGGATTTCCCTGGCTGCAACCAAACGTCCATTTGGCTGGAAGGGCACCTGCGTGCAGACCTGCCTCTGCTGCCTTCTCTGCATGGAGATTCTTGAGTGCAGGAACCACATCACCTTCACCTTTCTACTCCTGGGTCCTTGTTGCTGGGGCAGAACCAAGACCGTTGGATGTGTGCATTGGGGTTCAGGCAAGCTGTCCCTGAAAGCTTCACATGGCTGGCGCCATCTTAAGGAGAAAGTGGCCTGGCACCTGACATCCAGACTCCTGGGATCATGATCCTAGCTATGATTTATGAGCTACCTGAGCCTTTAGAACCATGATGCTCTCATCTAAAATGAGGATTATAGTACCTACCTTAGATGGTCGTGTGAATTAAATGAGGCAATTTTTTTGTATCCTAAATGTTTGTATCCTAAACATAGTACAGCATTAATACATAGCCGGTTCTTCAGGAGATGGGAGATTCTGAATATTGACATGATTCACATTAATGAATCCCAAAGGAAATTGAGAAATACAAAGTTATCTATCTTGGGAGTCCTCAAATTTCTTGAGGTTTTTAACAAGGATATATACATACAGGATACAGGCTTATGAAAAATTTCAACACCATGGAAAATGGTTATGTTGTAGTGACTGAGAAAAACAGGGTTCAGAGTTCTACAATATAGACATGCAACAGACAAAAAGACCAGCAGGACCTCATCTATAATTTGTGTGTGTTGTTTGAGTAGATAATCCACTTACATGGCTGTACATTTCAAGGGTACAAAAGGTACTAGGAACAGTCTCTCCCTTTTGCCCAAACACTCAGCTCCCCTCCTGTGGGGAATCCATATTACTTAAAAAATCATTTCAGAGATATTTTCTGCATAGTACATATTCTGCTCATGAGTATATTCTGGTTCCCCCAAATATACTGTCATTTAAGAGCCTATACTCAAATCTGTATCCCTAAGCACCCTAAAGAAGAAGAGAAAACTCAAAAATAAAGGCTGTTATTAAAGTAACTTCCTGTCCTCAAGGAGGAGGTTGGCCATGGATGTTTTCATGGAGTCTGCTCAACTGGTGGATTTAGCTTTCCATTATTGTTTAAATATTTCACTCTAGGGTTTTAATTTTTTTTTATGTTTACTTATTTATTTTTGAGAGAAAGAGAGATGGAACATGAGCCGGGGAGGGGCGGAGACAGAGGGAAAGAGAGAATCTCAAGCAGGCTTCATGCTGTTAGCACGGAGCCCAAGGTGGGGCTTGATCTCAAAAACTGTGAGATCATCACCTGAGCTGATATCAAGAGTCGAATGCTTAACCAACTGAGTCACTGGGGTGCTCCTCGCCCTAGGGTTTGAAAGCAAGGGGAAACCTATGGAATTTAGTTGCTCCTGATAATTAGAAGATCTGAGACCTCAACATACGTTTTTAAAATTTCATGTTTCACAGGGCAAGGACCTAAATAGCCTAGTGGTTACAGGGTTGTGATGTATGATTGGAGAGCCTGGGTTCAAAGTCTGACCCACCCATTGTGTGACTTTGGCACAGTTACTTAGCCTCTTTAGTGCCTTACCTTCATGAGGTTGAAAAATGGAGATAAAGATACCTAAAGAGCCCCTGGCTGGCTCAGTTGGTGAAGAGTGTGACTCTTGATCCTGGGGTTGTGAGTTTGAGCCCCACTTTTGGTGTAGTGATCCCTTAAAAAACTTAATTAAAAATTTTTAAGTTTATTTATTTTGAGAGAGACAGAGTGCAAACAGGGGAGGGGCAGAGAGAGGGAGGGAGAATCGCAAGCAGGCTCCCAGCTGTCAGTGCAGAGCCCAATATGGGGCTTAAACTCACAAAACCATGAGATCATGACCTGAGCCGAAACCAATTTAGCTGACTGAGCCACCCACTCACCCCCCCCAAAATAAAATTTCTTTTAAAAAATAAGATATCCTAAGATGAATGGAGATAACCTACCTCATAAGTGGCTTATGGGACTACTCGAGCTAACATGTAAGACACTTAGAACAGGTCTGACACTCTGCAGCTGAAAGCTTACTATTGTTTTTCCTGGTTCTGTTACCAAATAACAAACAGACTTGAGAGAAAACCGTTCAACTTGTCTTCGTAAAAGGGGAAACTGGGACACTTGCGAAATTGTTTTCAAGGCCTTTTGCAATGCTAACATCACGTGATTCACAGTCTGTGTCACCAGCAGAAGCCCAGGGCCCTGCATGTGGTAGGAACTGCTGCTGCTGGCCAGTAGTTAAGAACCCAGGTGTGGCATCGGGAGTTTTGCCCATGTTTTGAGTCTAGACAAAGAGAAGACTAGCATCCTAATGTTTGAAGTATAACAAAGCTTATTCTAGAGAGGAGCAGGTCTCAAAGAAATGTTGCTAAAAAAAGTTATCA